CTCCCTTTGTGTGAATTACAGACGGAACGTTCAGGCCGCCGCAGGAATCAAGGAGAGGACGTGGACCTGGAGAAAATTGAAGAAGTGCAATTATTTGTCATAAAATTTATTATAAGACAACTCTACAAAATGTGTTTTACAAAAGGTTACAATGTACCATTGCGAAAATTCAGTAGTAAACTCAACCGTAACACAGAAATCGAAATTTGTTCGAGCAAGTAGTAAACTCAACCACGTCTCAGACGCTCCATATTCTCTTCGTTAAAATCATATGCGAAAGGTACAAGGCCGCCGCAGGAACGAAGAAAAGGACTGAAACTTGAAAATTGAACAAACCAACTCCGGGTATCGTTAAGATCCCGCATTTTTAAATCCAGAATCTACCGAAAGAAAGACGTCCTTTTGCTCCCACGAAATTCCCAAGCTCCTCTTCACCCGCGATCGAAAGATCCGTTTACCCGCGAATCTTCTTCGACTATTTGCAATCTCCCACTGAACGTCGTCGTTAATTAGTTAAGAGTATCTCGCGAAGAGAAATCGCCCTAAGAGGTTCTTCCCCCCGAGTCAAATATTTCCAAAGGTGTTACGCGTCGGAATTATACCAAGGCTTTCATCTAAACCGGCGATCTTCGTGCCGTCCTCCCGCGAGAAGCAGCAGCGACGGCAGCATATTCCAATTCAGCACGGGGCAAAGAAACACAAAAATCCCTTCCGTCGTCCCCGTACCTTTGCACTTTTTCAGATCTCTGCGAAGTATACTCGCGAAAAGGATTTGCCTAGATGAAAAAAATTGACGAGGGTCGGAGAAGAAGTTCGCCGACAGCGGGGAGTTGCTCGCAGAGCAATCGCAAAGCTCCGGCGTTTCCATTAATCTCGGCCGAGAACCTTCGTCCTATCCCCTGAAATGTAATCTCGCGCTCCTGCCGCGATACTGTTACACGGTTCGAACGATCGACGGGCAATTAAAGATCAACCCGGCCTCGGATATTGAGCGACGCGGGATCAGGCCTGTGCGTTCTACCGTTGCTCTATGGGGGTTGAAACGTTATCGGGGTGAAGCCCACCTACGTTACAATTTTCCATGGTACAATAGGGCAGGAGCGTTGTGCACGATGTGCACAGCCCGCGTTGCAACTAAACAATGCTCTTTCGTGCACGCTCGCCACTGGATGGTCGTAAATGCATCAGCATAAATCGTCCTCCCATTCGATGGAGCCATCGAGCGAGCGGCGAACGCGGAGGGAAGAAAGAGAGAGAGAGAGGGAGGAAGATAGCGGCCGAACAAAAGGTGAATATCTCTTTTTCCCTCCCTTCTTTTTTTACATTGCACCGGGGGGAGGAAACGGTGGTTTAAGGTACGGCTGGAATCCGTGCGTGCGACGATAATGGGTGGAAACGTAGGTGGTAATGGTAACTGCGGCCAGCAACCGACAGACCCGTTCAAATTTCCACGTAAAAGCGCGTCGAATTGCCTTCGTTTCTCTCCCCCGGCCGTTTTCTTTCAAGCCTATTTTCCACGATGGAAAATGATTCGAGAGATCGGGCCACACCGCGAGACATCTCTCTCTCTCTTTCACACCTCGTTGCTAATTCGTGATTAATTTTTCCCGGAGTTGGAAACAGCGTTCCAAGAAACTTTTCACCCTTCCCTCTCTCCCCGCTCTCCACGCAGTTTCCCGCCCCGCGATTTTCCCAGTTACCATCTTCTTCTCTTTTCCTCCTCCTCCTCCTCCTCGTTTTCAGTTGTAATTACCGCGGATGATCCCGAGCGGACGCGAGGAAGATCCGCGCGATAGGGAGGAGAGAAGACGACCAGCTGGGCTCCTCTTAATATGAAAAATTCAAACGTCTGCGCGAAATTAACGCACGCCCCGTGAATATGTAATGCGTTATAAGTTGACGGTGGGACGGTGAATTATTCATACGATAGGTGAACTCCGTTAACGGAGTTTAAACCACACGCGTGTACATACCTCTCCAGTTGCTCGAGTTACGCTCGTATTTACAACGAAGACATTTGCGAGAGGAGAGGAGCTTCGTTCCGTTTTCATCGTCGCGGTGAAAGAAAAGAGAACGGTCTCGTACGTGTAATTCGAACGAAACTTTTGCATAATTTAGCATACGTTCTTACATGCTCAGCCACAGGTGCGCCTCACCTGCTCGTTACAATTTCTCCTTTGCCACGGTGGCGAAAAACAGGCGGGGTGGATGTGAGAATTCGGTCGAAAAGCTTTTTCGCGCCTGTAACGAATTAACCAGAGCTACGTGCAGCGGATAATTCCACGGTTTAACGAGATGATTCGAATCAATCGCCGGGCGCGGAACAATAACGATAACGAACCCGCTGGACGATCCGGTGATTTCGTCGAATCACGGCCATCCTTTCCTCCCATTTCTCCAATTCTTCGTTGTGTACTCTATTTCTGTTTCCCACTTTTCTCCCTCTCTCCTTTTCATTTCATACCTTTTTGCGCTGCCGCTCGCGCGAGACACGTCCCCGCGTAATCTCCGGGCAAATTCGCAAATACGATAATCAGAGCGACCAATTAACACCGGAGGGGAGGGAGAGAGAGGCGAAACGAGAAGCGAGAGGGAAAAACCAGAGATTCTTTTTTTCTTTTGCGAGCTTCCGCGCGTGCTTTTTCCCTCCTTTTTCCATTCACGTGGAGAGTGTGAAACACGAAACGGGAATTATGAAGCGTAGAAATATTTCATGTAGCGTTCACCGCGTGCAAGAATACAAATGTTTGTTCAACCAACGAAATCGCGGAACGTAACGATTTGAATAATTTTCAAAAGCAGCCACCGGCCCGGCTCTCTGTTTCAACGAACGTCCCGCTCTTCTAATGTTCGATAGAGAGAGCGCAGGTAGGGAAACGCGCGTGATCGGTGAATTCTGTGAACCAGCCCTCGAATTCTTTTTCCCCCCGCTTTGTCTCTCGCCCCTTCCTATCTCTCACCTGATAAAACAAAAAGAAACGAGCCACCATCGCGGAGATATCGAGGACGAGCGAGGGCGGGATTCCTCTAATTAATGCGTTCACGTTTGACTGGTGCAAACGTCGTTCGTGTGTTTGATCAAACACGAGTGTGCATCTGTTTGCACGCGTGTACATAGGACGGGAGAGGCGACGTCTCTTCCTCGTCGTCTACGACTTCCAATATGCCAATCAGCCACCGCGTGCGAATAGATATTCGTTCTCTCCCTCGTTCATCGTCCTGGCTTTCCACATACGGTGAAATAAATGTACACTCAGACCGGCGGATGCTTGGAATTAAGCGCGACGAACTTTCTACCGGAGCGTTCTATTGGATTATGGAAGTTAGTGGTTGTTAAATAATTAATAATCCTTATTTTAAACTAGAAACTTTTATTAGACACAAGGAAGGTTCGCTTCTCTACTTGATGGTAAGAGCACTGTATACGGACTGAGAATGCTCCTACGACCCCGCTTGGGAACGAAGGGCCTTTTGTCACGTATCGTAAACATTTGGATCGTTACTAAACAGAGGCGGTAAGGCTAAACGGATTTCTCCGAACGTATACAAAAGTAATATACAGGGTGTCCCGTAACTCCTCGAACACCCGGAAATGGGGGGTTGCTGGGGTGACTCTGAACAACTTTTTCCTTTACCAAAATGTTGTTTGAAGCTTCATTTTTGAATTATTAAGGAAAAACACTGGCCAATCAGAGCGCGCGTAGAGCCCGCGCTCAGGGACGAAGCCTCTCATTTCCCAATAGAATTTATATCTCGAATTAGTTGTAGAAAATAGAACATAAAATAAAAACTTTGTGTTTCAATCAAGAAACTGGTCCTTCGTAGCCTTAGAACATTAGTCGGCGCACACGTGCAAAAACCGGCAAAGCTTGAACGATCGAAAGATCAACCGCATGCCCCGAACAGTGTGTCTGGTGGCGGTGTGAAAGTGGGGAATTTGTTATTACATTTGTTATATCGCTCGGTGATGTCGAAGGTCTGTTTATTATCTTAGGTCGTGCGGTGTTCAGATGTGAGAGGCGTCGAGTTCTTCGGTGTAGCGAAATAATTTTCGCGCCGACTAAGACCTCGATTAGTTAGGACGCGCTGTTCTATCGGGAATACCGGAAAGCGACGTCTATTATATTTACCTGCTAATCGACTCGTTGGTGAAATAAAAAAACGAAAGAAAAGTATCTGTTTCGAATCCGTACAAGCTTTCGAAATCGGCGTACAAACGACGATTAAACGGTGAATACACTGGTAATATCGCAATGTAACGACTTTATATAATCGAGCTTTGATTACGCTCTTCTCTATCGCGTCATTCGTTAATGCAATGCGCATTTTCCAGTCGGACGCTGATCGGATTTCCCCGCTTATAGTATACTGACGCGCGTACAGTGTTTCGCGTATCGCTTAAGAATCGAATTATACTGTAACAACGTTTGCTTCCCGACTATCGCGTTTCGCCTGCAGAGAACGCGGGATAGAGAGACAAGAGGATCCGTCGTTCGGTTTATTTCGAGTAGGATATTCGGCGATTTTTTTCTGATTTTTTTGCCCCCGTTTGTTTTTCTTCTCATCCGGATCAACGTTGCTCGCTTTTAAAGAGGACAACGTTGCTCGTGAACCGTGGAAAGTATTTCTAATATCAACCTGTTAGCGCGGGAACTAATTAGCTCGTCGTGTTTATTACAGGTCTGCAAGCACGAGAAAATTTCATTTCTTCTTGAAAATTGTGCTCTGGTTAACGGGGTCTTTTAAAGGGAAAATTAGAAAATTTGTCTTTCGTCTGTTGAACCCCTTCAGCACCATCGATACATTTATTCACAGTGTTCTTGTTTTTAATTCGTTCCACCAGATTAGCTTACTTAATGAAATACAATTTTCTCGAAATAGTTGTTACGTCTTTTAGCAAAGAGGAAAAGGTAGATGTTTGTACAGACATGAAAAATTCAGAACAGTGTTTCATTTTCGCAAAGTCCATACTAATCACGCACACGCACATCCAGGTAACGTCAATTTTTCCACAAAGTTCCCCGAAAGATCGTGGAAACTCCTTTGAAAAACGCCTGCCTGAGCGACAGCGCGGCGATTATGGCAGCGACAGCGATGCACATATTCTTCGTCTCGCTGGTCCACGAGCCGAACTTCTTGTATCCGTAACACTGCGCTGCGATACCAATGGTGAAGCACAGCATGCCCAACAAATTGTGTCCGAACTTCGTCAGAACCGGTCTGACGATGTTCCTAAATCTCAGCGTGAAAACTGGATAACCGAAGAGCGTTAGGAACAGCATCAAGCTGACCGAAGTGATACCGAGTATGGCGTGTGTGGACCGGAAATGGACCGATTTCTTGCAAAATATGAGAACGACGCCGGCTACTGTGCATGCAACACCGAGTACTTGGAGGATCCAGTGAAGGTGTTTCTTGGCACGGTGCGTAAGAAAGTTGGTCAGGATGCTTTCACCAGCCAGGATGAGAATGGCCTCCGACATCAACAGGACGTACTGAAAAGGGAGGTAAGATCGAGTCGTGAGCGGCGGTGGAAGTTGCGGTCGTTGGACGAAGTCGTTAGAACTTCTTTGGCCACCTCGGTTAGCCACGCTCTCTCGCTGTCCCCTACCCCTTGGGGCAAGCGAGCTAACCTGGCTGGTTGAACGTGGTCTCATAGTTGAATTTCGATTTTCGCCCGCTACTCTATCTGTACAGGGTGTTTCGAAACGCGTGGACGTAACTTGAGGGTTGAATTCGGTACGCTGACATACGAAAATATACCTCGTTTCCGAAGAAGAGAAGGACAGTTTTTAAATGAACGTAAATGAGAAAAAATTCATTGATCGTTGTTCGGTCCCGAGCACCGCGACGCAGGACCTGCGGGACGAGTGCGTAGCCGAGCCGCATGGCATCAGCGGAACCGTGTTACAATGTCGCGACAAGGCCTTCGACAAAGGGATCGCGGTTGCCGAGGCGAGAGGGCTCGAGTGTTTCTTCGCTCGAGGGGACTCGCGTTGGGTCCTGTGTCGCATGGGCCGCCGAAAGCGATCATCGCTCGACGTCTTCCGTATCGCGTCGCACTTACCACCACCACGTCGGCTTCGTGCTATAAAGCACGGAGGTTTTCACGCTCGAAGCGCATTTCTACCGAGAACACGCCTAGAAACACATTCTATTGAAAACACGCCCAAGAAATACAATAATTGTTTTAGTTCGAAAACGTGTTGATTTCTTTCCTATAAATAAGACTCGCCCTGCCGCGCGTCAGCGTTTCCAAGCATCGAAGAGCTACAGCGTTTCGGGACGCTACAGTCGTGGAGGACGAATTAATTAGCCAGCTCGATCTAGATTCGTTGGATTTTTATTTGTGGAGCAGCTAGAGTCTTTGGTTTGCAACATAGTGAACAATGTCAAGGAACTGTGATGCATTGAAGAAAGTTGTCGGTGAATTCAAACAACACCCCTTATTCTTGAACGAGTGAGAAGATCCACGATCTACGAGAATTTCTATGAAAATTATTGAACAGGTATCGTACGAAAGAAGCTGTAATTCGGGAACGTTTATATCAACTTTTTTCCCCATTTCAGCGTGCCGAGTTCATCCCTGAAGTTACGTCTACGTGTTTTCAAACACCCTGTATATAAAGGTACGTCGTGTATGTACGTATATGTATACACGTGCGTAGGTGTGAAAAGGTGGGAAGTAAATGGTGCAATTTGAATCGGGGAAGATAGCCACAGAAGAGACTCTTGGGCAAGGTTGCCACGAAGAAGAGAACTTTCTTCTTTGTCGTTTTGTTCGTGTTTGGCTGACGGCAAACGGAGAAGCTCTTTCTCTCTCTCTCGTCGCCTTTTGAACGATTAAACCACGAGAGTCGTCCGCCTCGGCTTATCTCTCTGATTCAATTTTATAGTTTATGCGCCGTCTAACTGTGTCGCACCTTCGAAACCCTTTCTTTTTCTTCCCCTTTGTTTCCGTCTCCCCCCCGGCTTGTTTTTCCTCCGGTGAAACGAGGTGTTTGCAAATGTCCCGGGCGTTTGCATCGAACCCTTAGACGTGACCGGGCGAAACGCGTGTTTCACGGTTCGTGTAAATGATGCATCTGTTAGGGGATGAATTAATCGCAGGTGCGCAACGGTTTCACGGTTTAACAAGAGCGTTACACCGTGACGAAATTTATCGGACAAATATGTATGTGCGCGATCATTACCTCCGAGCGTTTGTCGATTAATTGGTAATTAATAACGCGAACAGGTCGGATCGAGGTGAAAATGTCTCGTTTCAAACCCATTTTTCAATTTCGAGCTACATAATTCGGGAAGATCCGAGGAATGTTGAAAAAATTCACAGGAAAAAGAACGAGCTTCGGAAACACAGGATCCCCAAATGTCACGCGTGTAATAATAGCAGACAGACCTAAACGAGGATAAGCTCTGATATTTCGACCCGTGATGAATCAGAATTGACAATAGAGCCGATGATAACGCGTGAAACGTACTCTGAACTGTGTTACGCGACAGATTAATACGGATCGCGAATGTACAAAATTTCCACGAACAAATCAAAACGCGTACTCTTTTTTTTCTCGACGAACGTTTCAAAGGTATTTAACGGAAACAAGTGTCGAATGAATTAATAATATTTAATATACCTACCCCAAGGGTGCAGAGAGTGACGTGTAAATTGAACGCGCTTGCAGACGGAAGGGAATGGTACAAAGTGAACGCTGTCAGACAAACGATGAGTATATGGTTAACGAGGTCGAGCCCGGTAACGCATATGCTGTATACGCTTCGTTTCGTGTCAGAACCTTCCGAATTTACGGAACTATTCGAAGAACTCGAGGACGACGCGATGTCGACTTTTGTGTCCCTCAACGGAAGTGACGTCATCGCAATTCCCCCTTTCCTCGACATCCTTCCTCACTACTTCGGCGTATCTGTAAGTTGTGCAACAATTACGGTACCTGCTACACACATATACATATATACACGTATGTACATCGTATCTATGCAAGAATTTTACTACTCCTTTGGCCCTTTTGATTGGTTAATTAAGCGAAACTATGTATGCAACCGTTTATTGGTTGTTTAATTAAATTATTACTAGCTCTCTATTACACGCGTATTCACTGGGATTTAACGTTCCGATGTACAGGGTGTACCTACCAGTTTTTTATTGTTCTTCTGTTCCTGGTGAAAGTTCGTCGATTCGTTTCTATGACTGAAAAATGAGAGACATATGTTGCGTTATAAATATAGGTCGGGTGTGAGGATTTATTAAAAAGTTATAGGAAAAATATGGGATACGAAGGGGAACTATAACGGGAGTGTTTGACAGCCTCGGGGAAAAGTTATTTCGAATAACGGGTAAATTCGATTTATTCGCTTGTGGGAAGTTTTCGAATAAAACTGACGAATAAATTCCTTTCCCCGATCGGCTCTGTTTAAATTCCATTTAAGTATCAATCTTTTTCTCAAACAGTGGCAGAAATCTTGCGGGAGGAAGGTAGATTAATCAGTAAAATGTAGGGTCGGCCTACAGGCCATCGGTCGATTCCACAAGTGTCAGTAAAATGTAGGGTCGATTCCACTAGTGACAGTACAAGTGTTACTGTACTTTGTCCAGTTTGGTGGAGAATATTGTTTAAATGCAATGGAAGTTTACCTGTGTTTTTCTGAATTTCAAAAATTCAGGCAGAATTGTAAATATTATACTGTCTCGCAACGTAAATTTAAGTAAATTAGGTTGAACTGCACAGAAAAAACAAACGGACGCAGCATAACGTGTAGTTATAATTGTTATGACATGTAAATAGAACGATAAATTTAGTGTAAATATAGAAAACGTATAATATAATTTATTTCATGGTATTGTAACAAGCAAACGATGAATAAATTCTTAATTCTTTCATGGTATTGTTACAAGCAAACGTTGAATACATTTTTGATTCGTGTAAAAATAATTATTTAACACGATAAATTTAGCTGTACTATGGTTATTTTTAATCTACGACCACAGGTCAACCTGATTTTTAATCCCTACGAAATTAATTTAACCACGAGTAAGTAACGAGAACGCTAAAACGTATGTTTCCATTGAAGAATATTGTAAAAACGTATAAATTGTTATATGCAATGTTATAACAAATTGTTAGAAGTATAAATTTATACCAAAAAATTGTGAGAATTAATAAATTATACGTTATTATAACATTACAATAGAATGCGAAATAGAATTACGAAAGAATCGATTGATTCCCGCGAAAAACGAAGGATTTCCCGCGAAAAGTGACCGATTCCCGCGAGAAATTGTTGATTTCCCGCGGAAAGTGATCGATCTCCCGCGAAAAGTAGTCCGTTTCCCGCGAAAAGAAGGTTTCCCGCCTGACCTAACCGACGATTTTGCTAATGACTTTGGGGAGAGGGTACCGCAGGTATAAATAGACCCGCCGATGTCCCGCGAAATCATTCACCCTTTATACTGGGCCTTAGACACTTCGCGGCGTATTTTGACCTGAAGGTTCTGAGATGTGAATAGAGTGGTCGGGGGCTACTTGCTAGTCTATGTCCACCCTGTACACACTCAGCCTTCTTGTAACACTTGTATACATTAGAATCAATTAGAATTTCTATTACTAATTATTAAACAAATTTTAACAATTACCGGCACTCGCTAGGCACGTAATATCAGACTTTAAATACTCGACTTCGAACTTCGGTTTAGTGATAATTCTATTAATGTTATAATAACGTATAATTTATTAATTTTCACAATTTTGTTATTAATTTATACTTCCAAAAATTTGTTAAAACATTACATATTATTATTTATACATTTTTGCAAGTTTCTTTGACAAATAAGTACGTTTCAACGATCTTATTACTTTCTCGTTGTGAAATCAAGTTCGGAGGATTAAAAATCAGGTTGACCCTTGGTCGTAAATTTAAAATAGCCATAGTGAAGGTGAAATTATTATTTTAAATAAATGTTTCTATACGAATTAAGAATCTATTCAACGTTTGTTTGTTGCAATACCATGAAATAAATTGTATTATATATTTTCTCAGTTTAGACTGAATTTAAAGTTCGTAAGGATTAGAAATCAGGTTGACCTGTGGTCGTAGATTAAAAATAGCCATAGTGAAGGTAAAATTATTACGTTAAATAATTGTTTTTATACGAATTAAATATTGATTCAACGTTTATTTGTTGCAATACCGTGAAATAAATTGTATTATATATTTTCTCAGTTTAGACTGAATTTAAAGTTCGTAAGGATTAGAAATCAGGTTGACCCTTGGTCGTAAATTTAAAATAGCCATAGTGAAGGTAAAATTATTACGTTAAATAATTGTTTTTATACGAATTAAATATTGATTCAACGTTTATTTGTTGCAATACCGTGAAATAAATTGTATTATATATTTTTTCTGTTTACACTAAATTTAAAGTTCTGTTTACATGTTATAACAATTAGAATGTAGACGTTTTGCCGTTTCACGGTTTTTCCTCTGTTAATTATGTGTTTATAAATCATTTCAAACTAAAGCAGCACCATGCCCACCCTTAATTAAACCGTCTCAGTAGTTTACCGTAATTAATAATCTATTTTCGGAATTTATACGAGAATTTTTGAATTTTAGTAAATACTAGAGTCAGTGCATCGCGTATTGAAATAATAGCTTATACAGATAATCTTTTGAAATTACTCTTAATTAGGGAAAATCTTGAATCTTGTATGGAAGATGAAGATTTTCAGGAAATATTTATTTTTCAACAATGAATTTTTGTTTTATCGATTAATAACGTACGAAATGATTTTTGGAAAATTTTCTTCGTTTGAACGTTCGTTTAAGGTTCGACTATGATGTAATTTATTCAAAGCGATATATTATGAAATTAAATTAATCACTCAATAAGTATTAACATTAGATTGTTTCCTCGTAATGGCCATGGTGGTCATCAGTGACTGGAGTGCCTCAAATGTTTAGAATAATTAAAATGAAATAAATGTTGTCAACTAAAAATTTTGAACGTCATAGCTAACTAGACATTATTTTCAATTGAAAAAAAAAATTATAAAGCATAATACGTGCAAAGAGCAAAGAATGCAAAGAATGATACGTGCAAAGAGCAAGCGATATCGTATCCAAGTGAGAGAAAAGAATTTTTTCTGCAATTTTCCCGGTGGAGAATCGAGGAAAATATTCGAGACCGAGCTCCTCCTATTCTTCTCGCCGCTATCGGTGTAAAGTTCTTTACGACAAGGCCCTCGAAAACTGTTTACCAATGGTCAGAGCCCACCGCAGAGCAATAGTAATTACTAGGCACGATAAGAGGGAATTACAAAAGGGACGGGCCGGTATTTGTGTTGAAGTGATTACATCTGGGAGCTCGCGCCGGTGCTGACCCCCTTTAAAATCGGGCCACTGATCGAAAGAAACGGAAATGAGTTCGTTGGTCCCACCTTTTGCTCGAAGAGCAAACGAAAAATGTAAGAGGACATATGACGTGGGGGGAATCGAACACTCGGCATATAATTGATTTACCGATTTAAATTCCGATCGATCCCCTGCTCCACGGACTTTATTGCGATCGAATCTTCGCGGAAATTCCTACGTACAGGGTGTCTCGAAAGCGCGGCCGAAGGGTGCACGGATTTTTCAGATGATCGACGTGGTTTTTCGCCAGCTTTTTGTTCTCACTGCTCTATTATCTTTGTGCACACTAGCGTTCGTGGAGATTGACAGCTGTGCGATTTAAACAATGAAACAGGTACTTGCAATTTTTTTTATAAATATTGGTAGAATATTGCTACGTTTCTCAGAAATGGAATTTTAGTCATTTAATTAAGGAAACTTGAATTTTTTAGTAATTCAACCCTTTGCCTTACGATTCTTTTAACGTTAAATAAGTTTTAATACCGTGTCGAATAAAAACCAGTCGAATACTATACATAATTTTTATTTGGCAAGGCTGAAACGTAAATTGAAGTTGAGCTTGAAATTCGAGTTTATTACAAGTGTCCTTCCTCTGTTATATCTGAACCATGATCTAAATGGAAAGAGTAGCCTATGATTCCGAGACAAAGGGTTAATTTCCAACACTACTATGGTTGTCCAAAAATTGTCCACTTCTCAAAATTCTAATTTTTTCGAGGACGAAGCTCCATATAAAAAAGTATCATTTCAATGGTACTACTACCGGCACTACAATCTATATTCATTCAGGACGCTCCCCTAGATAAGAGAACTACCCTCGCCATCCAGCGTAACAGATACAGCAACGGGAAAGAAACTTTCGAATAGGCAGAACGTAATTTCTCGTTCTTACGTAGCCGGTCATAATCTGTTGCAGGATATCGAAGCCAGTAAAGAAAATAAACTAAGTTTCCTTCCGTCTCGAGACGAGAGAACGTTACGTAGCTACTGAATATCCTCCGACCTCCTGCACACTTTTTATTCCGATTTATTTCGTCCACAATATAGTTCGTTAACGGTGTTTCCTTCGTCTCGACTTTTCCACCTTCGTTGACGTCGTCGTTCGAGAAGGAAACGTCCTCTGAACCAGTCTCTTCGCTTTTTTCCATACGCGTAAAAATTGAGGCAACCCCTCGAAATTGTTTTACTTGCTTAGGTTTATTGCACGGAGCACATCACGGTTACTCAGGTGTTCAGAGAGAGAGAGAGAGATTTTCCCGATACTGGTATCGTTTAATCGAATAGCGTGGAAATTTTCTCTCCTCTATATACACGTGTGTGTGTGCCTGTGCGTGGTCGAAAGTGACAATTACTCCGCGTGTGTCCATAGCGGAGGAAAAGCTGAGAGCGATGGTTGGAGAGGAAAAATTTCCGCGTCCTCGGTCGCGTTGGCCAGTGCAGAGAAAAAAAAAGAGAAAGAAGAGAGAGAGAGAAAAACACGAGATTTCGTAGAATTTTAAACGACTCGTTAACTCACCAAACAACCCACACAGCCCTCCTTCTTCGAAATTACGCGAATTCTTCTTGAATTATAGCCGCACTGTGCGCTACGAAACACACACACACACACGCGTGCGTATATACTACTGTGCACAATGTGTACGCCTTTGTCCTACTTCCTGTATGTACAACACTGTCGAAACACTCAGAGACGAGTTTCTATCTCGCGGGGCTTAAACATCGATGACAATCCAAGTGCGACCGCTTTCGTACTAATTGAGGAAATCTCTCAATCGAATGGAACACGCGTTTACATCTACCACGCGATATTCAACATTTCGCTCTCTTTCTTTGTCTCCTTCTTTCCTCCTCGTTTACGCAGTTCCCTCCCTCTCTCTCGGATCTATTGCTTTCCGTCGCGTAGAACCGCGACAGGCAGAGTCGAACCAGATAATTGGAACGTTCTGTTAGCGTGGTGTCACGTGACCGCGGCTCTCATTAATTAAAGGCGATACACATAACTGCTACGTGACGCCGATAATCAGATGTCATTTTTACGAGAGTGATCGCAGTCGACGTGACTCTTCTATACCCCCTCTTATTTCCACGACACACACACTCTATCTCTCTGTTCTTCCACCGACTACTGGCCGCTATGTAGAGTTAGAGAGTGGCATTGTCCCCGAAAAGTTTACTCTACGTCAGGTGCAACCCAGTCTCGATTCGAAATTTTCCAATGCAAATCGTCCCGCAATTTCGTCGAATCAGATTATCGAATTTAGATTCGATTGAAACCAGACAGTGTTGGGGAGAGAGGGAGGGAGAGAACAGCAGGGAAATAGAATTATACGAAAAGTTTCGCGAGAGGTGGGAGGGTTCGCTTTAATTGAGATTAATGCGCGTGCACGTTCTTTCCCGTGTATCTGTTATCAAAGATATCGAGCTCTATTCACCAAACGATTCTCGCGTTTTCAATTCTCTTCACACTACGGATACACGGTTTGTTTTGTGTGTTTCGATTACTTGCCGACACGCTTCTCTGGGTACAATTTATTTAGTAATAATTACACTGATTACCAGCGGCAGCCAGCCAGCCAGCGACGAAGAGAGAGAAATTATTCGGTTCCGGGTGGCGTATCGGTAAAAATGAAAACAGCGAGAAACGATGAATAGAGATGAGGAGAGTGTAGCAGGGAGGAAATTAATTCACGCGGATCGCGTGTTCGCGTGTTATTCGCCTCCTATTCACGCGAAACCCCGGCCACGAGGCGCTATCACAAAAATATCTCTCCATTGTTTGAAAATGTACGAACGCTTCGATTCGGCAGCGCGTGATCCGCGGAGACATTTCTCCGTGTAATATCGCGGGGCCGCGATTTCGCGAATTCCTCAGGAACGCGACAGCGTGAAAAAAGGCGAGAAATTGAATTCCTCCTAAGGTTCTTTTTTTGCATTCTTTTTTCTTTAGAGACTTGGTATTAATGAGGATGTTTAAATGCGGAATTTATCAGTGCACTCCAAATATTGTCCTCTGATTATTGGGAGAATACCCAGTGGGTGTCTGAAAGTAGGGAAGCTTGACTGAAAAAGTTTGTCATAAAAAATAACGCTTCCTCGAGATCAGATTGAAAGTTATCCACATTTTTTAGCATGTTAAGGTGCCTATTTTTCCTCGTTTCGTTATCTCGACGTGAGTATAATGTAACATTATAAATAATATCGACATTTTCCTATCTCTCGTAATTTTTCCTTGCCTCCAGTAACAATAAAAATAATTTCTTCAGATATACGTTACAAATGGGACACTCTGTATATTACAAATATCAATATCTAAAAAACGAAGCATCAAACGTGATTCCGTTGTTCTTTACCTTCGTCCGATTTTAATTCATACAATCACCCGTTAAATTTTCCACCAACTGTTGCCGAACATCCTGTATAATGAATGAAGTAGCGAAATAATATCCTGTCGGTGCTATTCACGTTCATTAAATATAACAAACGATACGTTGAAACTAAACGTTTCTTCTGCATTATAAACGAGCCGCGCTCCTCGATGAGCTGTTTCCTTTCGTACGAAAACTTCGTTGTAATGTTTCGGACGCTGATTTCGCGTAATCAGATAAAAGTATTTTCGCGCAACTAAAGATTAAGCAAATTACCAAAAACGAAAACAGCGCGTTCTTTTCGTAATCTCCTTAAAAAAAAAAGAGAAGAAAATTGCCCGTCAAATGAAAACAAAGTTCCTATCTACGGGAGATCTCATCTACGATTGATAAACTCGCTTGGCCAAAGAAGAATAAGAAGAACTTGGCGCTATTTTCGATCTTATTATCACCTTAATCTCCGTTACGATCGTATTTCCTATCGTGATCTAATTAAACAAAAAAGAGGCCGGTTGCGTAATAGTCGGTTGCGTAATAAACTCCTCTTCTCGTTTCGTTCTCACCGCGGACTGGTTGCATTCACGCAAGAATGCGGCAGAGATGAACTTGACACGATAGCGTTATACACCAATCGATTGGTTTGTTGACAATCGAACGACGGGATCGAGACGCGTTAATCGTACTTGCCCCTTCTCACGTAGAGATAACGCTTTCGATTCTTTCGCGTGATTAAATACGTAGCGGTGGCTTTATCGTTTAATAGAGCTGACGCCGATAAAGCGTTATCAACGCTTGTCCTTTTTTTTTTCCTGTTTTCCCCCTTCGTTCACCCCGTGCACACCCGGAAATCCGACCGGTTTCTCTATTTTCCCCCTGCTGTTCCTCTCTCTTGCCCTCCTTGTCGTCTGTTTTCCTCTCTTTTTTTCTATCAATCATTCCACCACTTCGCGTCATTTTCCTCGAAACTCAGAGTGGCGGCGAAGAAGCACAAGAAGAGAATGAGCGAGAGACAAGGAGAGGAGAAGAAGAGAGAAAGAGAGGGAGAGAAAATGAAAGAACAGGTGAAAAAGAAAAGGATTGGAAGTGGAATTAATTAGCAGAGTCGTCGTGATAGAGGTTTATCAATTTTAATTACCTCTGGCTTAACGAACTCTTAATTAGAAACGGAGGCTCGTAATTAACATCTACGAGGAGTAATTTATTTTTATCGCCACACAGATAACATTGGGAACCGTGCAGACAGAGAGACCAGGGGGAAAAAGAGAGACAGGCCAGGGATACGTGATTTACGAACACGTCAATGAGTTTTCTTTCAGAATACATAGAATGAAGATACCGGAGGATCTCGTAGACTTCCTAGTTTTAGTAGAACTTATACTCACTGTCTTCCTCTCTCTCTCTCTCTCTCTCTCTCTCTCTCTCTCTCTCTCTCTCTCTCTCTGTCTTCTTTTCTTCTATCTAATATTTCGCGAGCGCATTAGCATTTTGAGTGGCCAGCCAACATAAATTTATTCGTAGCTTTCCATTAAGCCTGGCGTAAGGACAGTTATCCCAAACAGTTTTCCTCGACCCTTTACGTTTACACCACGTCCATTTCGCTCGAGGAATGAACCAGCTCCGCCGTTCTACCATGAGAATCCTTCGTAACAATTTCCACGATGATATACGGTAGACCATCTTAGAGAGGTACCGTTCTCGCGAATACATTTCGAAAAATGGAACGAACGGTCACACTAGGCCGCGTAAATTATTCCCTTAAAGGGGTCTGCTGTTTTTCACATCGATTTACCAGACGAGCTTTCTTGACCCGTTTCAGACCCTCTGAATATCTAACGAGCGAGAGAATTCTTTATTATTCGGGGAAAGTAAAGTCCTCTCGTCGTCTCGTAGAGAGATCATTTTTTTCCACGTGGTAACGCCAATTTCTCGTGAGAACTGACCTACCGCTGATGAAAGATTGTTGAATCTTCTGATGTTTAAGGGGAGAATTTTCTTCGGGGAAGGTTGTACCGTTGGTTAGTAAGGTTTGGGGGTGAGTGAGTTCGTCGAGGGTGAGTTCTCTGCTTTATCGACCAAATTCCACCCCTATTTTACGGTATGGATCGTGGAAATTTGCTGGGGCTGGCTTGCAGATGTCAGCATTTGCTCGGTGGAGGGATTGAAGGGAAAAGGTGCGAGCTAAATTGGTCCCTTTAAGGGTGGAAAGTTGAAATTCTTTGAAAGTTTGTTCCAATCATTTTTTGCACCTTTAAAAACATTTCTGTGCTCATAGATGCAATAAAAATTAACGAACAGATAGAACAAAAAATGTTCCAAGTAAATTGGTCGTTTTTAAGGGTGGAAAAAATTTATTTCAATCATTTTTCGTGCCTTTCAACAAATCTTCGCGTTCACAGATGCAATAGAAATTACATAACAGAGGCATCACTCTTAAGGGTTGTAAATTACAGTGCAGGCATTATAAGTTTTCTCATCCATGATTTCGTCGAACTTGGTAACAAAAGGAGAGGCAAGCACAGGTAGTTTCGAACGTAATCGTCTTAACCGATATTTCCTGAATGCCGCGGCAGAATATCCAAGCCCAATAATAGATATTTGGCACACGTAATGATAATCCCATAATGCAAGGATCTCCTCGAAATGGGGCGGCACAAATGTCGAATATCTTCCGCATGGCGTGAGTCGAAATCATATTTCTTATTGAGCTGTTCGACGACCTCGCTATACCTTCATATGACGCAAGAAAACCTGCACACTGGGGCAAATAAAAATTTTCACCTGTCCACAAAGTATCGCTTGACGAAACGTACTAAAAAAGAACGAATTCTCTGTGAATCTTTTAATTTTCCATTACGAGGAGACGTCTATCTCGAAAAGCATCAAAGAAACCAGCTAACAACCGTAAGGAGAGAAAAAGAAGAAAAATTGCGCGGGGTCATCATACGACCACAAAAGGGACACGCTAGACAGGTGACACTCGAGGTCGAAATTAATTGCGACTTGTGCGCGCGTCACAATAAACAGACGGCGATACAACGACGCGGATCGTCAGGAGAGAAAAATCGCAAAGGATATTTACATATTTGCGGAGCAAAGCGAGAAAGAGAAAGGAGAGAAGAAGAAAGAGGGGAGGAAACTCTTGAACGGAAAAGCGTAGCGTGGAAAGAGCGAGCAGGCAAGCAACAGAGAGAGGGAGAGAACAGTTTCAATTTGCATGATGGCCGTGTGGCTTCGCCAGGATAACTGTAATCTCTCTCTCTCTCTCTCTCTTTCTGTCGACGTCACGAAGAGAAGAGTAAATTTTATCGCAGCCATCGTGGATTCGCAGTCAGACGGAAAGACAGCCGGGGACCAGGAGGTCCTGGAAGGCTTTTGCCAAAGGGAGCAAAAGCTTGAAACCTTTCATATCCATGTTTGCACTGGGCG